AGTTCAGGAAATCGCTGCTCGATTAAAAGTTCCAAATAAACTAATCGAATTGAGCTATATCTGTGACGTATTATCGGACATAAAAAACTGTAAATCAAAAATTAATTAACGCCCTACTAACCGATTCTCGAATGTGTGCGTGTAAAACACCCGTAGCGTTTAGAAGGTGGAAGAATTTTAATTTGCAATAGTTTTAGCATGGAGCACCAAAATTTTAAGATAAATGATAGCAAACTACCATTGGAACTGAGATTTCCAGTTGTATTTAGGCCAGCACTTCTAAGATATGAAATGTGATGTGATGATCGAATCAAACTTTGTCAAATGAAGCGGATTTTTAACACCATGCTAAAACCAGATTTAATTCGGGTTTAAAAAAAATTATCTCACTATAAACATATTCATGAAAAATATTTTAACACTCTTCCAACACAAAAAAATATCCATAAGCTAATAAAATTGATATTTAGATAATTTTCAAATTACTTTGTAAACAATAAGAAAATAAAGTGTTATCAACTTTAGAATGCAAAAACTGCACAACCCATTGATTTATGCACCCTCACACCTTGCTGCAATTGAAAGCTCTAATTCTGGAACCAAATATGGAAGGAGGAACCTTCGCGAAGCGGTAGGCGTCAACTACAAACCATTATTTACAGAACCACTTTCGATCAAACGGCCCCGATGCGTTTATTCCATAAGCGACTTTTTGATTTATTTTAATCACGTTCTTCACTTGGCTTTTCATTGTATTGGCATTAAAAACGTTTCAAAATGTATTCAACTACAAACATTCAAGCACACATGCGAATTCAGATTAATCCAAAATTGGTCAGTCATTATTCTACGTACATGCACAAGGATTCTCGATTATTGGCAGATTTATCTGGATAGGAATATTCCGATAAAACCTATTCAATGATCCTGATTTTAATTTTGAAAGCGCTTGAATCCAACTTTCAAGGATCTATATAAATACGACGGGTGAATTTTAGGTTGTTTTTGTTTTTAATAGTAAAATCACAGCTCATCTAAAATTTAAAAAATAGCGTCGATACAGTATTTTTAAACTGATACAGTTTTTGGTCATACAGTAGTCTTAAATCATCATATCATGGTCATATCTCTTGTATGCCTATTACTGCATAGAGGACTAAATATCCATTGTGAAGGAAATACTGGCTGTTTTCACACAGAATCAAAATTAGAAAACTACAAATTTAAGTACAAGGCAACGCCACCTTTTTCCTCATATCTCAGGAACAAATTGAGCGAGCACCTTAACTCCTACACGGCTATGTCAACATATGTTTTAGATTTACGCGATTTTTGGCAAAATACGACCATCCGCCCAAAAAAGATCTCGTTTTTTCGTGTCGAGAATCACTTGAGCTTAAAGGCTAATTTTCAAACCAATAAGTTGAAAATTAAATAAAACATTTTTCAATTAAAACCAAGTTTTAAAAATTATTTTTCCACATTGTCCATTACAGAAATTAAATTCCATACATTCAACAATAAAAAGAAATAAAGACGGCGCCTTTTTTTAGATCAATCCGCTGCTAAAACGAAAACTAACTTTAATCAGCACCCGGCACGTTTGATCACATTTTAAATGCGAAATGAAGCTAATTTTTCATAAACGCCGTTGATAAAAACTTGCAAACCCCTGAAATGTTCCACAGTAGAAAGTTCTTTGAGCTTCTCAATTATTTGGCAATCAAGATCGAAAAAGTTACTATCTATACTATTTGGTTCAATGGATTGTTTAGCGTAAGTATGTATAAAAATACATCATATATCTCACTAGCGAACAATCGAGATTACTTGGAAGCTGGTTATTCCTGGTTCCATATAGAATTGTCATTGTAGTGTTGAAATATTCGATGATATAAAACATTGGCGCCAGGTCATATTTATTGAATATTATCTTGGGTATATCCACAGCAATTTTTTCCAAAAAATCTTTTACAATTAGCGACTTACTAATTCAGGCAGTGATGTTAATATATAAAAATTCCCGTCTCAATCCGTTTCGTTGAAAAATGAACGGCAAATTCGACAAAACACACATAAATCACATAAATAAAATTATAAGAATTGAAAAGTGCTTAGCAGCACTGGGGGGGAATTTGAAGTTAAAACGTTCCGAAGAATATTACTCATCGGTCTAAGCAATAAATAATTTTCATAACTCTTCGGTAATTTACAAATCAATCTCATCTGGGTTCTTATTACTATTAACAATTAGAAATTATTAGCGGTCGTTTTATATGCATGTCTAACGAAAATTTATGGCCTCTGTTGCCAAACATTTCACAGCCTAATTGGAAAAATGATACTGCATTTTTCCTATTTATCTACCTATCAATAATTGTTCGATACCCAACACCGTGTAATATAACCGGCAATTTTATGACTTCGGGTACTTAAAATGTTGAATATTATATTGGCGGTTCCAAAAACAATCGTATAATTGGATAACAATTTTCCCCACTGGAAATCACTGTATCATCTACCACGCACTGAAAATACTTGCACATTTCCAGTCGAAAAATAATTAGGCTCATGCTTTGATCAACTGCGTATTAAAATCGAGAATGTGGAAAAACTATGTTTTATCGTAACTGATTATAATCCTGCGATGTTCGGGGAGGATTAAGAGATTAAACATATTTTCCGAAAGAGTTCGTTATCTTGACGCGGATGTCTTTTATGAAATTACATTATTTCCTAGACGAAACGTGGAGAATATTGTGAAATAACAACACGATTTGAACAGATTAAAGCCTGATAAATTTTACGCTGTGTAATTAAGTGCATAATGTGAAGCAAGAATTTTTCCAGAAAAATATATTCTTAGCGCCATTTTATGTGACAAAATTTTCTTTTTGTCCAATCGGTCTTTCACTGTGTTTGCTTGTTAGCCGCAGTCCTTTATTCGCAATGAAACGCTATTATTGACTAAAGTCAATTCATTAATTAGTTTGTAGTGATTTCCCGGCAACAGTAATGTTCAGCATCTGCTAGTTAATAATTAAGTTATAAGGAAATGCTGACATTAGTGCAAATAAACATATTTTGAACAAGTGCAAGATTACTTGAAGCTTTACATTCCATTTTAATAACGAATGTAATTAACAAGATTTACTTAAACATTTCAGGGATTGTTATCGGGTAAAAATTCAATGAACTTCTGCTTGTGCAGATATTCTTAAATCTCATTTACAAATCGTTTAGATTCCTTTTTCCCAGTTTAAAAAACTTTTTTGGTTTAACCAATATGAACCAATTTAGAATAAACTCGACAATTTTTATTAATCTACCCATTTCCAACTCTTATGGAACTTTTAATAAATAAACAATCTTAAAATCAAGTACCAATCACAGTTGTGATTCCATATCGATATCACTTGTTGACTCTTTGGATGTGATGATGTGAAATAAATTCCAATATTTTGCCTGGTCATTCACTCTCTAAGGGAGTTATTTCAGTAATTTTGATAACTGTCTGCACACAATGTTTAAAATGTTATTAAAGTCACTCATACTCGTGTTTTGACCCTAAAACAAATGGCAGAGGAATTTTTTAGCTGTTTACAAGATTTCAATTAGCTTGCGCTGACACTGATACTTTAACTTGTCAGTGTTTTTAACATTTTCTAGTGTTATCACCAGTGAAGCTCATGCGGTACATGATATAAAATTGTAATCTAAGTACTGAACACAAATACATATACTATTCTCAACTTAAAGATTAGTGATACTATTAAAATGGATTGTGAAGATAACTTGATATCGGGGTTGAAGATTTTTGGGGAAATATGGCGATTTTACCCAACATACTTTGAGAGATAAAATTAACGGTTGGTCGATGAGATTCAGGTCGAAGTTACATTTGCATTTTATGCTTTGCAGAAAACTAATAAAAATTACGACATTTTGCATGCAGTGGTTTACTAAAATGGAAAAGCATCTAAACCTGCATAATATTTTGACCATCGAATAGAAATGAATAGAACAACCATCGACGACGATACCAGTGCTAAAATATCTCTTTTCTGCTAGTAATTTTACATAGAAAATATGTTATTTCTCGACGTCCAAGATACAGGCTTTTAAGATAATTGCGATTAAACTGCAGGAGAAAATATGAGGAAATTTGCCAATGTACTGAAGTAGAATGGCGACTTCTTATTCATTTAATAATTAGTACTAGAGGATCAATAGACGTGCCGAGAATTAAAAACATAAATAAAAATTCCTAACGATGCTGACAGAACTTTGTTTCTTAAATAAATACTTCAACAGAATGCAAAATAAAGTTCTCCAACAGAGACACTTTTTTCTAGTAGTAGCAAATCTAACAAGAATAGTTGCAAATATACTTTCGACTGAAGAAATAACAAAAAATTGTTGAAATTGAACTGTGTAAGAGTCGATAGATGATAATGAATTATTAAGAAACATAAATACAACTTCAGAGAAAAATATGGAAAAGCAAGTAAATTAACCCCTTAAAAAAAGTTTTCTTTAGATTGTCTTTGTATTTTTCAATGGCAAATTAATTCTCATATCCTAAGCGCCACATTTGAGTGTATTTGTGCGTAGCACATAGCTGTTGAATGGTTATAGAAATTAGCATCCTATCTGGTTTCACGATGGGGTTTTTCCCACAGTGAAAAAAGGTTGCGCGTATTTACTTTCGATATTATCGGGGCAGTGATGGCTTCACAACGATACGAAAATTGACAGTTATTCGAGGAATCGTTTGTTAATATTTGGCTTGAATATTATTAACCTTTGATTCCTCCATCAAATGAAAATTCCGCAATTCAGATTGCAATCAAATTTACTTTGATATGTGCTACTGAAACTACCTGCTTTTTTGTGACACCCGATAGCTATTTAAATCGTTGAACAGTTCATTCATTAAGAAAATGTTATTAATTTGAGACAAAAATGTGCAATTGTGCCAAATTGATCTAACGACTTACCGATTTAAACAAGAATGCTGGAGCTGCCTGGTGGGTTGTCTTGGAAATTCAAGACGCTGAAAAAAGAAAGTTCAGTTTGAGTTTTCAAAAAAGTTTATTATCATCCATATCTAAAACTCTGTTTTAAAATTTCCACGAATTATAGTTTCTTATCAGTTTCAAACATTCCAATATGTTTTGGATGCAATTCTAATTTAAAAACCCCTTTTTCCAAGACAAAGTAAAACACTAACCTACTCTTGAAACTAATACAGTTGGCATAAACAACATCACAAATTTATTTACATTCTCATTGAGAGCTTTGATCGTGAGGTCGAAACGATAATTAGACACCAATTCCTGCGGTTAAACTCGATTGTCAACTGCAGGCCGAAAATTCCCTTTTAGAAAATAGTCGTCTCATGTCATTAGTTTTACTAGGATGTATATAAACAAACAGAATCTTTTCATGGTTGTGTTTCCTTTTCTAAGAATCGCTGCTCGGTTGCTTCTAAACGCGGACTGTTCGGTAAACACTTTTAGCCGGCCCGATGTGTTTGTCCAGCCACCATGAGTGTTTACATTACGCATACCTTTTCTGTTTCTTTAACATGTTACTTTTACACGGGGGACTAGAAATCCTACTATGGGATGCGACTGACTTTCAAAGCGAACGCACTACCAACCAACAGTTCCAAACCGTCTTGGAACAATAATAATTTCCTCGCGCTTAATTAGACACAAAATAACACTTGTTAACCAATAGATAATGAAAACGAGAAAATGCAAATACTGGCTAACTTTGCCTATTTTGCATAATCAGTTAACTAACGGATAACTTCAAACTCACGTTTAATAAAACATGCCCCTAAAGCTGGGAGATAATGTTGAGATTAAATTACCTATCTTATGGACTCCCAGTCTATCCTTAATTGATTCGATTGATAGCAACAATTCGGATTATGAACGTTTTTAAACAGGACTTTGATTAGAATTATTTCCAAAGCAAAATGTCCAATTTAATCAAGTGAAATTGAAAATAATGATCATGAACAGAAAGAATATTGAATTAAATTAATGCGAACCCAAATTTGAAACTGAAAATTATTAAGAACCGAATTAGGTAGAAATGAACATTGAATCACTTTGATAAAGAGGATACGTGGGGTCATATATGATAAATTAAGTACTAAAATTGCTGTTGCACATGAGAGGATGCTGATGTTATTGATAATTAAATCAATATATTTTCTTCTGATTAAAATCTTTCCGAAACTGTAAATCCACTAAATCCCCAAAAACAGATTAATAAATCATCGCCATTGACTTGATAGTTAATATCCTGTTTTTCTCCCAAAATAGCCTTGAGTTAAATTGATAAAAGTTCTAATGATATGAAAGGAAAACTAGCTCAACATTCCTTTCCTAGTCCATACTTTTTCCGGCTTTGGTTTCAGTATAAATCTGAAAAACCCGAAACAACATAAACCTGCGGGTAAATTTTGTGTCATTTTATATCGACGCAATTCAATTTGAATTCAACCGTTCGATTAAATGAATGCACACTTTAGCATACTACAATGTATATTCGGGCAAGATTGCAATTAAAAATCGAATGCCTGAGATCATCCGGATAATCGTTCGTAGATTACTCACAAAGCCAACAGGCCTTTTATTAAATCAATTATTCACAGTCGACGCAACCCGCCACTGGTAGTTCGCAGAAGCAATTTTCCACAAGTGGTTACCTAATTAATGCACCGACAACATCATTGTCTTGCCCGGTCGCTTGATTGGTTTATGTGGCAGTTGAATTTAATAGAGAGGAGTTCCCTCATTGGCCACCCGCAATAAACTTGTTGCAAAATGGTAGACAACAAAACTATTCCTAGATTTATTGCAGTTTCCTCAGTGTCATCTCAACTGCCCATTAAAACTAGTTTTCTGAGAAAGTTTTAAAACTGTGCTAAAAGCTATCTTCATTAAGAAGATAAGTTGTTCAGATTTCAACTCGCGTGTGTTTTGCTTGCTGGTCTATTCTAGTCATGTCATCAAAGTCAAAGTTTTTACGGGTTTCGGCAATTTTTTTTCATTAATTCAGATCAAATTTGATAACTGTTGATGTGATTTTAATCATCTTTCGATTTCAATCGCCTACAAGTCTAATATTTTCTCGATAATAGCAGAAGAGAAATGTGAAAACTTCGAGGACAGTCCACTTATTCTTTTATCTATCTAAAGCCCTTAATCAGTCCATTTTTGGACATATTTGGCATATTTAATTCCTGCGCGTTTTCTCAAATCGTCCTCCCAACCTTCATCTCGTGTAGCTCCAATGCTCCTGTTCCAAATTCTCCTGTTGTTTGGCATTGTGGTCTGCAAATGTCCATTGTAGACTAGCTATTGGTTTCTTATCCACGAATTCCGTTTTTTATCTGTGAGTTCCATTTTTACAAATCTCTCCATTGCTCTTTGTGTTCGTGCAATTTTCTCTATGTTCGCCCTAGTGAATGTTTCTGTGTTGTTCTTAAGATATAACTCAGTTTGCCAAATTTTATCTCTGCTGTTTGATTACCTTTATTTAATTTTAAGTTGGTTCAAGAAAATGCTCTCTTCTATCGTTTCTTCCCTTATTCTGGCGTAGCGTTTTCTCTGTTCTTCATTTTTGCTTTTTGAAAGTTCATATTTAGACCTACTTTTGTTCATTCGGTGTTAAGTTCTTCTATAATTTCCTCGAACTCTAGTAGTATGTTTATTTATTTTTTATCTTCTTGGCTCATGTATTCATCGCAGATGTTAATACCGCGGTTTTCACATTTGCCTTAGCTTTGGTTCAGTTATCAGAATTGTTTTTTGCTTGGTGTTTTATCAGGCAGCACTTTCTTCAATATGTCTCCTTCCACTCTTAGCAACATCTCCACTGTCCAAGTCTACCAGGTGATTTAGGTATGGGTTTTAATTTCTTCAAGTGTTTTTTCAATCTCTGGTTGTAGTCCTGAATTTTCATTTTGATTGTTTATTTTCAATTTATTCTGAATATCCTCCGGTGGTTCTAGTTTTGTTTCGTCTGCGAGTTTCTGTGTAGAATTGATGTAGAGTGATCATAATTTAATATTTCTTAGTAATTCGTATTCGATTTTCATCTTTAATTTTATCTATTTTGACTCGACCCAGTGTTGGCTTTAGACATTTCATATTTTTATACTTTGCAATTATTTCCTCCACCTTTCATTCTTGTATCTTTCGCCTATCTTCCCTTATGTTATTTTTCTGATTATCGTATTTATTTCTGCACGTTTGCTGGAATTTCTGGTACTAGAACTTTTCGCTTTTCTGAAATATAACTTTCTCTCTCGGTGCTACTTCATGTCCTTCTTCAATTAATGTTTCAGCTAGTGTGCTATTTATTTCATTCATGTTTCTATTGGGTTTGTTTAGACTTTCGTTCAGCTTATTTGAAAAAAAAAAACGTATTTCTGGCTATCAATATTCAGATCCAGTAAACACCTTAGAAATTGCGCCCAATGAAACCAACTCCAGAGTTCCCCAGAAATATTAATCCGAATCACCCCATAGTCAGATTGAATGGTTCCATATGCCCCAAATTACCCCTATTTATTAATCTGACTTTGGTGCCGGGAAAATGATTAAATGATGATGACATATAGCCGGGAATCTGTATCAAAATCGGAAGGTGGTCCGATTCGAAAAATAGTCAATATCCATTGTGATTTTGTACAAAAGTCGACCGGGCACGTGAACTATTATCGTCATTATGATTATTTCGTATTGAAATAGATTTCAAATCGATAAATTTCTCCACAATAAAGGGACATGGATTTGTTTGGTCGCCCGAGCTAGGGCGGGTGTTAACTAAAGCTGCTCAGCATAGAAAGGTGGCATTTGTATACCTGGGTGGATATGAAATGAGCGGAAATCTAAAAGAATCTTTGTACTATTCAAATCGGACGAATCACTGACGATTTTCTGGCGCTAACATTCTATTCATGTATCACTAATATATTCAAGAAATTATTAAACTTAAATACAGCGTAAAAAATGCTTGAAGCTGTCGGGTTTTTCGGGCTTTTCAGCCGCCGTGGAAAATACTGCTGTTTCGCAGGCACAAGTGGCTTGCCTCCTCAGAAATGCTTCAGAGCAATCCACTAACCCGAAAAACTCACTGGTTATAAATATTTTGGAAACGAATTCAGCTTATTCACAATCCATCTAAATAAAGCTGCACATCAAAACTAGCTCTATTTCATTCCATAGCTTTCAACATACGTAAAACTCTTGGCAAAAAGCGTCATCATTATCGCCCTTTTAATTTTAGGGCTGCGCTTGGGGCTTGGAGAATCGACGTATCATTGTAACTAAATACCGGTTTTAAGGAACAGGTAGTTTTTAACTGATTTTTGCAACTGCATTCTCTCAACTGACGAACGATTTTATCTCCTTTAGACAGAATTGCTCTAATTGGTTTAAAAAACGACCCACACAAACGGTAAATTTGAGGCTAAATTAACAGCTCTTTGGAAACGGTGCCACACCATTAGGGCAAATTTAGAAGAAAAACACGTTCCATGAAAATTTTCAGAATTGATGCAATTTTATCCACAACATCAGTACTTCCTGTTGAAACTGAGACTTGGAAGTTTCGAGAATTTTCAAGTTTAGAAGAACTTGGAAATGGTGCACCTAATATGAGCACATGATGATGCTAACCGTAATAATTTTACAATGAAATAATACGTTCAACAGTAATCGTACACCCGACAAGTGTTTATACAAAGTCCTCCGTGTCATCATTCTCGTACTTCCACCTGAATTATAAACAAACGTAGAATTCGCCGGAAAAAAAGTATAATGCAAAATGGGCAGATTCTTTCAGTCACCAACTGGTGCAATCGTTTTATACTAGATTTACTGTTATGAATTAGCACAAGCGAAAACACAAAACATTTCATTGAAGTCCCGAAACAACAGCTGCCGATCGTCACGTTAACTTCAAAGAGGGATCAGTTGACCGTTCGCATAGCTGATCCCACTGCGATGGATTTGTACTGAAAGTCAT